AATACAACAGAGAGCAGGGGGTTCCCCAGCCCCTCAGACTCGCATTGCCCGCTTGCCTGGAGGGTTTGCGGGTCTGGACTGGGAGCTCTCCTCGGCATTTTGGGTCACCCCCTCCACATGCAGGGACCCCAGGGGATCCGGCCCCATCCCTCCCGCAGCGCTGGGTTGCACTGCCAAGGTCTGCCTCGATGGGAAAGGTATAAACCGGGCCCTCGCTGCAAATTGCGCTTTATAGCATTAGCCATGACATCAAGTTTTCCTTGTTCTCACAGGGCTCAGCAGTCCCAGTTTTAATACAAAATCATTTTTATATAATTTAATTTAAAACAGTTTTAATGTAAAACAGTTCTAAAACCAGCTTACATAAACGAGGGCAAGCGCATGTGGCTGCTCGTGTTCCCATTCAGCCTGGTTGCCCTGCGTGAGCCCTGAGCTGGGACTGGCCGTGGCAGGTCCAGGGGACCGGGTAGTGCACATCGCCACACGGGAGCGGGACGTGGGGAGGGCTCGCGGGGCACCCCAGGCTCTGCCCAGCTCTCTGCTAGTAAACACATTCACCGCCTGCACGCACCGTACAGCATCACAGGAAGAAGTAGAGAAGAAAAGCGTTTCATACATACTTCGTCTTTGCCTCTTGCCCTTCACCACTTTGCTGCTGCCTGTTAGATCCATCGAGCTTAGAAAAACCACCACCACAAACAGTCCAAGCTGCATAGTAACTCTCCAGTGCTGCAGCCCCTCCGTCGCAGGGTGGTCAGAGGAGCTCACTCCACAGCTGGGGATCTCTCTGCTGCCGCTAAAACGTCTCGGGTGGGATCAGAGCTGAGAGTCTGTGCGCGAAGCCTGGTACGGGACCATATCCACAAACTACACCAGCAACAGCGAGCTTAGGTAGCAGGTAACATGGCTCTACCTTCATCCCTGTAAGGAGCACAGGGGCTTGGCTCTAGTCCCATCTGGGGGCTCTGGCAGCCAGCGTTAGCTGCTCGCAGTTTCCAAGTGCACTCGCAGGAACTGCAAAGGAAGAGGAGAACAGATTAACTTGGCCGTTGACATTGCTCCCAGAATGTCTGGATG